GTGTGTCATTGAAGAGTCAAAAAATCTATACACTTTGACGTTTGAACAATTAGATAAATCACTACAAGTTCATGAAGACAAAATAAAGATAAGAAGTGTCTTTGGAGGAAATTCTCAAATCAAAGGTTTCTTTGAATGATGGTGGAAAGTAAAGAGGATGTTGAAGAGGTAGAGTATATGGTCATGATCATGGTCATGGCCAAGTGTCTAAAAGAAATGTTACTCAAAATATTGCCAAAAAATAAAGATAAAAGCCAATAATCAAGTAAAGGCCGTGGAAAAGGAATAAGAAGAGATAACTATAGAAATTCTAAAAAGTCCACTGTTGAACGTTACAACTATCATAGATTTAGATATCAAAATACTAATTTGATTACTAAGGTGTATATGTCAAAGAATAAAATATTTCTTTTGAATCTTAAGACTATTGAAGCAAGATGCTTGAAGGCCAGTACAAAAGATAAAGCATGGTGTTGGCATGTGAGATTTTACCATTTGAACTTTGGTGCATTCAAGGCAATGGGAGAAGAAAATATGGTGAATGAGATGCCCTTGATTAACCATTCTAATCAATTGTGTGAAGCATGTCCACTTGAGAAGTACTCAAGAAGGAGTTTTCCAAAAAGAGCCACTACAAGAGTAGCCAAACGACTTCAACTTGTGCATGCCGATGTTAGTGGACCAATAAATCCACCTTCATTTAGCAAACATAAATACATTTTATTATTTATCAATGATTTTAGTTGGAAGATTTGGGTGTATTTTTAAAAAAAATATATATTTTTGCATCTTTTAAACTTTCAAAAATTTTGTAGAAAAAGATTTTGATAATGAAATAAAATCTTTGAGAACCAATAGAGGAAGTGGATTTCACTTCTAAAGAATTCTAAGAACCGATAAAATCTTTAACTGTTCTAAGATCACCACATAAAATGGAGTTACGGAGAGAAAGAATAGAATTATTCTTAATATGGCTAGAAGCATTAAGAAAGCTAAAAGCATGCCCAAAGAATTTTGGGCCGAAGCAATTTCTTGTGCAATATATTTGTCTAACAGATCTCCAACATCAAGTGTAAAAGACAAAATTCCCCAAGAAGCATGGAGTAGGATTAAGCCTAGTGTTAATCATTTATGAATTTTTAGAAGCATTATATATGCTCATGTTACGTAACAAGAGAGATGCAAACTCGATGATTAAGTGTCAAGCATGTTTTCATTGGGTATGATGGAAATTCAAAATGCTGCAAGTTGTACAATCCAAGCAATGAGAAAATTATGGTGAATGGAGATGTTGAATTTGATAAAAAGGCGACTTGGAATTGGGAAAAGCAAGAAGAAAATATTTATGATTTCTTTCTATATTTTGAAGAGAAAAATCGAGAGAACATGGTGTCTTTGCAAGAGATAACTCCACCCCCTTCTCAAGAAAACTCAAATGAAAAGTCATGAACGATTAAAGTCATGAAAGATTAAGAACATTCAAAATCTCTATGATGAAACTGAGATCACTAACTTTGATACAAATGATTTATTTTGTATTTTTCTTGATACTGAACCTATGAATTTTGATGAAGCCATGAATGATGCAAAATAGAGACAAACCATGGAATAAGAGATCAAATCCATAGAAAAGAATAGCACATGGGAGCTATCAACTCTTCCTAAAGGACATGAAGCTATTAACATCAAATGGGTATACAAGGCAAAGAAGGATTCTCAAGGAAAGAGGAAAAAGTGCAAGGCAAGACTTGAGGTTAAAAGAAACAAGCAGAAGCATGGAGTTGATTATGATGAAGTTTTTGTACTAGTTGCTTGCATGGAGACTGTTCGGTTCCTATTAGTTATTTAAGCTCAAATGAAGTGGAGAATTTGCTAACTTGATGTGAAGTTGGCATTTCTCAATAACTATCTAAACAAGAGTTTATGTAGAACAGCCATTGGGTTTTGTGGTTGAAGGGTATGAAGATTAAGAGTTGAAATTAAAGAAAGCTTTGTATAGAGTAAAGCAAGCTCCAAGGGCATGGAATAGATGTATAAACAAGTATTTTGAAGATAATGAGTTTGTTCATTGTCTTCATGAATATGCTCTTTATGTGAAGTATCATGCTAACGATGATATTCTATTTGTGTCTCTGTATGATGCAGAACCCAGGATCAACAGCGGAATCCAAAACCTACACTCAACAGGGGAGTGAAAACCAATGTAATAGGGATAAATGAATTAATTAAAACGCCACAAGAAAAATTTTGATAAATTAAAATTAATTTAAAAAATAGATTAATGAGAACACCAGAAGTTCTCTTAATAAGTAAATACCAATTTCCACTCAACAAAAAGATTAAAGGAAACCTTACTATTTGAAACAAAAACTTTATGATTTTATTATTTTCAAACTTCAATAAATAGAACTGTGAATTGATGAACTATTTATAATGTAGGCCATGTGAATAATAAGGAAAATAATCTCCTAATTTAATGTAAATATTATATAAAAAATTAAATTTAGAATATAATAGAAAATCTAGCAAAATTAAGAGAATTACAACTAAAATATGATAGATATTGTCTCCCTTTGTAGAAATCTTTTTAAATAAGAAATATTTCAATTAGTTGTGGCTGATTTAGGGGAAGGAATTTAAATATATTTTCCTTTTTCGCAAGATTTGGCATTTAAGAAATTTTTCTCTTTTCTTTTTAAACAAGCTTGTGATTTAGGATTAATTTCCTCCCTCGATTGATTATCTCTCTTAAGAAGAAAGACTTCTCCGGGATTAAGGAAGAAAATTCCATGAGAGTTTTTTCTTTTCTTGCTCACATCATCTCCTCTCTCTTCAAAAATACTTCGTCATCGAATCAGATAGTTCTTATATTGAGATTTCACCAATTTTACTTTCTTTGAAAAATTGTCATCGAGTGGGACGTTGTATAAGGTCATTATGAAAATTCGTAACTAACGGTTAGCAAAGAAAATAATACCCACTCATGTGTTTCACTCTTGTGTTTCCCTTCTCTCGAATTAAACTAATAAATTTTTGTTTAGAACACTTCAAGGAAGCATAAGAAGGGAGAGTGGTAACACAATTCTAAAAATAATGAGTTTAAACATATGAATGAAGATAATTTATTTTTTATGCATGATACTAAGTAACCGGGATGTGAATTGGCTACTTAAAGATGTAATGGAACAAAAATACAATGAAAGGAAGAAACTTAGAGGACAAGAAGAACAATGTGGCTATGATTTTTTTTTTGGAACTATGAAGAATAACAAATATGTAAGGATAAATACAAGATAGTAAAATTTATCTTGAGTCTAAGCTTTAAAACTAAAATCTTTCTTCTTGACATGCACTCATAAGAGAATAAAAATTAAGGTAATAGGGATAAATGAATTAATTAAAATGCAACAAGAAAAAACTTAATAAGTTAAAATTAATTTAAGAAATAAATTGATAAAAACGCCACAAGCTACCTTAATAAATAAGTACTAATTCCTCACTCAACAAGAACGTTGAAGGAAACCTCACTGATTAAAACTAAAATTTTGTAATTTTATTATCCTCAAATTTCAATGAATACAACTGTGAATTGATGGTTTATTTGTAGTGTAGCCAATGTGAATAAAAAGGAAAAATAATTCTAATTTAATAAAAATATTACACAAAAAAATAAATTAAGAATAAAATAAAAGAACTAACAAAATTAAGAGAATTACAACTAAAATATGATATATATGAATGAGAAGCTACAGGTTGAAGATGAGACTGGAAAAAGGAGATGTTGGTCATCATAGAAGTCTATTGGGATGACTAATTTATATAACTCACACTAGGCTAGATATAGCATTTTCTGTTGGTGTTGTTTTCAGGTTTATACACTCTCCTACAAAGCATCATCATGGTGCAGCAAAGAGAATTATGTGGTATATTGCTGAAAGCACTGAGTACGGGATTTGGTATTCTAAGAATTCATAATGCAAGTTATTTGGGTATACAAATAGTGATTGGGGAGGCTGCTTGGATGACAGAAAAAGCACCTCAGGCAATATGTTTTCTCTTGGGTCTGAAGCTGTTTCATGGAGTTCAAAGACGTAGACAACTACCACTCTTTCCTCTACAAAGGCAGAATATGTGGCTGCTACTTCCGTCGCATGTCACAGGATTTGATTAAGGAAATTACATGCAAATTTTGATCAAGAAAAGAAGAGTGCAACAGAAATTTTCTGTGGCAATAGTGCTTTAATCACAATGACTAAGAATCCAGCTTTCCATGGAAGAACAAAACACATAGATTTACGTCATCACTTCATCCGTGATTTGGTCACAAGTAGGGCAATTATTCTGAAATTTTACAACACAAATGAGTAAGTAGCTGATATATTTACCAAAATACTTTTTTACGAAAAATATATTTATTTTAGATCTAAAATTGATGTATGTAATTTTGAATCAAAGGGAGAATGTTGAAGAATGATTCAAAATTACAGTTAAATTTCTTTCACTTAGTCAATCTAGTTGAGTAATTTGGGATTAGTTTTTTTCTTATTTGTTAGGTATGTATCTCTTAGTTGAGTACTGGACATAGTGATAGGATTTATGGACTGATTTTTAGCAGATGTAGATTCTTTGTAAGCCTATAAATAGGCACTTTCCTTTGCTGATTAATAGTTAGAAAAATCTGCTTCAGTATTCTACAAAAGCTTCTATTATTTGAACTTTTTTGTTGGTCTGTTCTTATTTTCCAACACTTTTTGCAACTTAAGGATTACAAAAGGACAATGCATCTAACCCCATGTCAAGACACTCTTTGACACATTCGATATTTCTAATATTTTAAAGAATTGAAGTTTTGATAAAGAAAAACTGAAGCTTTAATTCGTAGTCTTCGAAGAATTTCAGTACATGTAATACCAATGTTAGCTGCAACAAATTTTTGAATATTTTTCAAAGAATTAAGAAAAAAAAGTAATCAATACATGATATGTGATAATATGAAGAAGCTAGTAGATCATTCTTTTGCTTTTCTTACCAAAAATACCAGGACCGTCCGTAGAATAGATAATATCCAGAAGAAGAGGAAACTGTAAGGTGACAAATAAGGAAACTGGCAAACAAGCTGACAGACATACTGACACTAAGTACCCAAGTATTTTTATTACCAAACATGAGAAAATTTGTGGATCCAAAAGCGACCATCATAGATGTTATGGACAGGAAGAGGGTAACCAAACCGAATATCAATCTCTTTGGCAGAGCAAAAAGGAAATCTTCTTCTGCATATCGCGCTGTGAGGATTGACAAGAACATTAAAATTGCAGCAGTAGATGAGAAAAGAGAAAGTGCATCTGAAACTGCAAAGATAGTAAAGGCTTTTTCCTTGGAGAAATTGGGCAGACAGCCATTGTTATTACCACCAGGAACAGTAATGGCTGCTGCAAATACTACAGTAGCAATCAATGCAGCTGCTACTGTGCAGGAACTTGCAGTGTCTTTCATCCATTTCTCTCCTTCTTTGATCAAATCTTTATGTTGCTCAGTGAATACAATTCTTGGTTTTTTCCCCTCATTGTTTAGACTTTCTTTATAGATGGGTTCAACAAATTTCTCTACTTCCTGCCAATTAAAGCTTAATTTTCAACTTAGAAGGGAATTTCAGACTTTCAAAACAAAAGTTTTATGGTATAAATTATGATCACCTTAAACCAATGTAACTCGTGCTGCATCTGCAGGGCTGCACCAGAGATGAGATTTAGCTGGTGGAGAGGTGCTATATGTCCAGCCAGTTGCAATATGTTGTTTCCAAATTTGTCAGAAGATTGTGTTACAAATTGCTTATGTCCACTGGTCTGATATATTAGATTAAATACATTTTCATGACGCTCTTTTACTGCCAGTTGGAATATGCACTGTCTACTTTCGATGTCAGGAAACCAAATAGCCATTGGAAATGAATCCAAGATCTCTTCAACAACTTCATGGATTCCGTGTCTAGCAGCCGACAGAAAAGGTGGTATCAAGATTTTGCAAGATTTGACAAAATCAAATTTACTTTCTTCCTGGCCCAGGATTTTCAGTAATTGAAGTGATTTCTGGTGGATTGATTTTGTTTCCTGGATTCTCTTGATGCATGATACTGTAATTAACGTTAAGAATATGGATCAAAATGATAGTGGGTTTAAATTTTTATATAAAGCTTATTGTATCAATATTTTGTTGTGTTGTATACCTATAGCAATAACTTCCCATAACTTTTGCCACAAAACTGTAACAGCAGAAAGCCAAGGCCGTTAGGAAAAAACAAAATTTTAACAACTGTTAGAATAAGTAATGGGTGAGAGAATTTACCATAAATAGACACTTCTCTGCAGAGAAATTGGAAGTAGTAGCTGATTCATATTGGTTGATGAGTTTCATCAGATTGCCTCTCCACGTCTCTTGTTTGTGGAATGCTTGGTAAATTATGTCTCTTTACGGGAACACCTGGTTAATGCAACAAAATTTTATGGCTGCACATGTATTCTCCGTAGACAACATTATAGACAACAGAGTGGATGTTCCATAAACAAAACTTACAACAGTAGATTGAGCGCCGAAAAAAGTTGAGGTGACTTCCACTTGGGAAAGCAGCAGGTTTTGTAACGAGTGTAGTGAGTGGAGATTGATTGTGAAACATCGGGGTGGTAGCTAATTAAGGGTAACGTTGAAGGAGATACAAAGCTACATCTATCGATTACACAAATTATGTTGGTATTTATTATTAAAGTATAAATAATTGATTAAACATTTTTTCACGATAAATTTTATGGATAATCAATTCAATTATTAGAGTTACGATGTTAGAGTTTAAATTTTCACTGTCCTTAGGCTAGTGAGTTTGTGTTTGATCACATTTTCAACTTAGTAAACTTAAAATAATTGATTCAATCAACTGTTATGAAGATAGTTTTGAAATTTTTACTTACGGAAAAGGTCAGAAAGTATTACATAACCAAGGAGCGTGGCACCAGATTCGTTGGCAAAAAAATGTAAGGCTCTACATCATCCCTGGTGACTTCTAACAAATAATTGAGTAACTCTCTGTGACCGTACTGAGCAGCCACATGGAGAGGTACAAAGCCCTTTTAATTAGAAATATAAACCAACCCTGGATTCTTAGCCACCATCAATTTAGCTGCTTCAGTGTTGCCAACAATGGCAGCTAGGAAAGGGGCTGTTTGGCCAACACGACTTTTATGTTCAAGTGCAGCTTCCGGCATTAATTCCAACAGTTTCTTCACAAAATAAATGGATCGTCCAGTCCTCACCGTAACATGGAGAGTTGTTTCTCTTGCAGGATTAATTTCAGATGTGACTGCTTCTGGATCGTTGTCAAAGAATCTTCTTGCACTGTCCCAGTCGCTCTTCAATGCTGCTTTGTATAATGGCAGGTAGTAACCAGAATTGTTCATGGCTTCATCATCATCTGTTATCAAGAATCAAAACAGTGATTAATCTCTTCAATCTTGTTGGTGTTTTCAGTAGTGTATTGGAGAGCTTACCAAATTGGCTAAAGTCCTTATCATGAGTTTCTGATGAGGACTCCAGTATGGCTTCCATGATTTTGCTTCTGATTTCATCTTATGTACCAGCCCTATCCGTTTTGCGGCTTCCTGCTGCTGTTTTCAGCAAACTGAAAAGGAGGTTAGAAGATGGCTAGAATCTGCTATCTTCCGTCAATTGTCAAACACAAGCCATATATATATATATATATATATATATATTCAAGATGTATCCCATTTTCTCCATGGAAATGCACTAGTCGAGTTTCTTGGACAGCTTACCAGCTGCATTGCTTTCAGTTATATCATCATCTTGCTTTGAGGAAAGAGAGGCTGCCATTATTGCCGCCATTAGTTTGCTTCGAAAGTCATCCGAAACTTGTCTTGAGAATTTGCTTCCCTCTCCTTCACCATTCTCCCTAGCTACCTTTTCCTGATCTGCTGAAATTAAAAATCATTAATTGATTGAGTTCGCCATAAATTGCATTCTGTCTTTAAATGCCTGGTTTTGGCCGTTTTTAACGACTCCACATATATGGTCAGGCATATATATATATCTATAGCAGTATTTAAAAATCGTATGTAGTACGTACAAATATAATAGAAACAATGATTACATAAGTGGGCGAGTTGTGGCCAACAGAATTGTGTTTTATTATAAGTTAAATTGGTGATTCCCTCCCAGAAATATGTAGAACGTATATAGTCCTGGAATTTTTTTGTGTTTGGGAAGATGGAAAAGGAAATTATATATGCATATGCTCATCACGTATTAATTGAAGACTGGAAAAAATGTAGTAGTTGTCAAAAAGAATGAAAATTTATGAAAAGCCATGTGTAATGTAATAAACAAGGTGAGGTATATTCTGGGATGAAAGCCTTCTTATCATTGATTTGTTCATAGGATATTCTGTATAAATCGCAGAGATATATTCTGGAAAACATGCATTCTGTATTTAAGAGAATGTAATAAACTCCGTAGCCCCTCTTCTGCTCAACAGAATTTGATTCAATTTTAAATTAAAATTAACTTGATCTGACAGAGAACAAAAGAATTGGGATAGGTCTTAATTTTTGTTTTATCGGCGAGGTCCTCAATGAGGTAAAACGCTCTGAATTCTCACACAAAAGTCCAGGAAAATTTCTCCTGGAGAAGCAAAACCACTTTCAGGATTTGAAGTTGTTCAAAACCAAGATACTGGAAATGTTGTTTCCGTGAAGAAAGATGGATTACTTAAATAGTGCACATGTCTTCCAAATGGCTTGGTTAAGAACCAATTACTTACCCTTTTAGGGTTTTTATAAACTTTCTATAATAATTTAGTGTTAACTGACTTTAAAGTCCGGTAATATATGATCATTTGATTTTAAAAAGTTCAAACTGAATTTTCTTAAAATCTTTTATTTAGTTATGGAATGTATATTCTTAACTAAATTACTTAAAAAAGAAAATATCAAAATTAGAAAAAAAGAAAAAAAAAGTACGATAAAGAGCTACCCTAATGAACTTATAATAAACTAAGTTAAAAGAAACAATAAAAGTAATTAAGAAATACTAAATTGCTAGCTTTCTAACAAGAAACTTCAACTGCAAGTCTATTGATAGGTGCATCGAAACAGTTAGGCGATCCAAACACGTCCTGAGAAACTTTAAAAGAACAAGACTCCTTTCCAACACACTGATCTTCAACAATGGAAACAACATCTTTATCACTGTCACAACTAGTCTTCTCAAATGCTCCACAAACTCCTTGTGGGTTCCCCAAACTTGCAAACCGAACTCCAGAAATTGGCCGGCCATGGCACGACAATTCAACTGTGTTACCCTCAGATACAGTTGCACAAGCTGAACCAACCACAACGGGCTGAAAATCTACCTGTGAAGGATTCCCGCCAAACTCTTCAAACAAGACAATTGTGTTTACATCTTCATTGAGGAATGAACGAGGCACGTGATAGTATCTTTGAGTTGGTTGTCCGCAGTTAGACACACACTTGTCCCCATTGTATGAACCACGATAATCACAAACAGCATCGCTGCAACCTTGTTCATCGGCAATGAAGCTTGGCCAGTATCGTCCAATGCTGTGTCCATTGATCCAAGCTTCGCCTTTGCCCAGTCCTAGTAAATCTACAACTACTGGGTCTGTTCCCAAAGGTGCCTTGAAGGAAGCCTGATGATGATCGTAATACAATTGTATATATATATTTGAATTACATATATGACGATAAAAACAACAGAATAGAATATAATCATTTATAATAAAGGAACAAAATAAAATATAACTAGTTTTTTATAATTACCTTGTACCAAGTCAAATTTCTGTTGACAGGAACATTGTCCATTGACCATTTGACTCTTTTGCAATCTGGGTTGAAAAGTTGATTGTCCAGGCCATTCAAACCAATCTTGTAACTCCACTTGTTAGAAGACAAATCTTTGATAATTGTTTCGTCCCCCTTATGACCAACAATTTCAACTGGACCCGGGACTCCAGCTTGTGTCAAATCGAACATTGGACCATAATTCTACTCACATAATTTACATATATACACTAATAAATCAATTTAATCCCACAAATTACAAAATTAGTATTAATTAACCAACCCAATTAATATTTAGTACCTGCAAACCAACAGTTGCACTAAGGATAACAATCTTATTATGCCCAGGAGATAATTTAACCTCCTTCTCAAACACATGGTTGAATATGTTATATTTGGCCCATTGAGAACCTGCAAAATCAAAATTAATTCAATCAACACATACATTGTACAATTTTACGTCTGCAGAAATTTAATAATGTAGCCAAGATTGATAATTTAATTTACCAATATATTTTCCATTAACATATGAGTGAAGAATTTGGCCACTTCCATGGACACGAAGCGTCATGTTGTTGCTCCACATTGCATCATCTTTCCCAAGATTCACACTATTTAAAACCACCCAAAAATTTATAGGTGATGAAATTGTAAATAACTAGAAACTTATCAAAGCAGATAGAGATATACGTACCTTGTCATGTACCACAAATAGTCACTGGCATCACTGGCCATTTCTTTTTGATCAACAATTCGGTTAGCAACAATTTGGCCCTTGCCTCGAACAATAGTATCATGAGTGAACTCAGGCCTCCACATCCATTCAAGGATACTAGAATTTGCTTCATTTGGTTTTTTAATCATCACAGATGTTTGAGTGTTCACCTGAAATTCATATAATTTAATTATATTTTCACCCAAAAATTGTATATTTAAAAAATAAAAGTAATTCTCTTTCTGAAAAAGAAACATAATTACCTTTGCAGTATTAAAGGCTACGGTTTTACAGTCGGGAAGAATACTAACAGACCATGCAGGAATAACATAATCAGCATCTTGGAAGTTGATTGTTGCATCGCTAGTTTCATTTGCATTTCCCAAAAAGCAACTTGAAGCCTCATCGGTGGCATAAATAGTGGCCTGTATAATATTTACATATTTTATAACTTATTACTTTGTAAAACAATAAGTTCTTTTATTAAGTAAATAATCAACTTATTTGATTTTTTTGGGCAAAATCTTTTTCTTCCAAAGGGAACTTACGGCGACAGAGGATCCAAAATCCAGAGTGGAGATGTTCCCGTAAGTCAGAGTTTTCTCCATTGACTTCAACACAGAATGAAGTTGTTTCAAGTGGCCCCACTTAGGTTGGTTCAAGTTACCTATTATGAAATAATTAATATTAAACCCAATTAAGGTGAAAAAATACGTCAGAATATATGAATGATACAAAAGGTAAAAGAAAAAAAATTACCATATTCATCAAGAGGTGCATTGTAATCGTATGAAGTAGTGATGTATGGACCGCCCGCAGTTCTACCAAAATTGGTACCACCATGATACTAAAAACAATCATTAAAAATGATTTGATGTTAGCTTATACCATGCAACAAATAAGTAAAATGAAACTAAAGGAATAAACTAACCATGTAATAATTTTGAAATGTTCCACCCCTCTGGAAAAATCTTGCAACAGAATAGGCAAGATCCTCAGTGGTCCTGTAAGGGTCTTTCCCACCCCAACTTTTAAACCTGATAAATCACCCTCAATTTAAATAAATAAATAAATTTAAAGTATCTATTTTTAAGGGATTAATGTTTAAGAACTCGACTCTCCTACCTCCAACTTGTATAAATTTAACCAAAAAAAGACACTTACCATCCTGTCCAGTTCTCAGTCCACATTTTAGGGCTGGTAGGATTCTTTGGAGTGTATGAATCACAATAAAAGCCATTGCATGTCTCAATCTGTTAATTAATAATCAAATTATAATTTTGTAGTCATTAATAAATTTATAAATACAACGGATATATATATACACAGATAGGGAAAGAGAAATTAAACATAAATAAGCTACCATTGGCTGTGGAGCATCAGTTTGCTGGCACATTAACCATGGAACTCCAATGTGAAGGGAGTCGGCCATATTTGCACACCAGTTAATGTAAGCTTTGCCAGCATCTCCATAAGAAGACATCACATTCCCATACTCATTCTCAATCTGAAAACAAGATATTAATATTATCAATAACACAGGCGCAAATAAGTATTGGCTTTGTGCAAACTGTCCTGGACAAAGATAATCTGATTGTATCATTTTGTTTCAGTGAGGCTAGTGTTTTGGAAAAAGTAGTCAAAGTGATCCCACTAGACAGAGGGCAGCATGTTCAGCTTAAACAGATGTCAAAGAGCCAAGGTTTGCTTGGCAAGGTCAACCATGTGGTATTGGCACTGTTTTACTTGATGATGATGGGATCCTGCATGAATTTCCTGGAGCATCCAGAGGTTTGAAAGCTGATCATGGAGAAACAGAGAGAGTTTCAAAATGGCTTGGTTAAGAGCCAAGGTGGACCAGAGAAGGGCTCAGCCAATTCACGAGGAATAATACCAGGTGTTCGTGCTGATGGAGAAACAAGAATTGGTTTCTTTGGTTTGCCTTGGATTATGAGGAGAAGATCCTGCAGATTTCAAAGCAGGACAGACGTGGGAGTCAGAGAGTGGGTGAGATGAGAGAGACTCCAAATGGTTGGAAGTCCATTGGGGCATGCAGCATTGGCATTGTCCATGAAGGAGATGATTGGGATGGAACCACTTTTTTGGATTTTGTGGGAAGCCACTTCCCATCTAGAAAGAGATGGACAATGCCAGGATTATAGTCGGGCAGAAGGTCAGGATTAAAGTCTAAGTGAAGCAGCCAAGATTTGGGTGGTTAGGCCATAGTCATGGAAGTATTGTACCATGACTGCTATTGACACAGATGGAAAACTCAGAATAAGAATAGACCCGGGGCAGACTCTAAAACTTGGTAAGTATGTTGTTTCCACTGCTTGAAGTGACACTGATTTGTTTGAAGGTTTTATTTCATGCTGATAAACAGAGAGATGGATACAGAGCATGGGAAAGGCTAATTTGCATGCCTTGCTGTTAAATTATAGGAAGTACAAGGATCCCCAAAAATTAATAACTTCAGGCCACTTGATTCTCATAGATGAGTGTAGCTTTTTAGGTTGTTTGAGGTATGTATTTGGTGCTTTATATTTACCTTTCTACAAACTGAGCAAACAACTTTATAGCACTCAAGAAGCGGGCGTTTGCTTCTTTTTGAAAAAAAAAAATCAACAATAAAAAATTTTTGGTACCCTAAAAAGGAAAAACAGAGGAGAGAGTGTGTGTGAGTAACAGAAAAATTTGTGTATATATTTGCATACCTGGGCTAGAATTATAGGTCCTCCTTGTGATGCAAACAGCTTCTCTTTTCTGAGCATATCAACTATCAGGGTTGTAAAGTTCTGCATCTCATTCTGAGAAATTTGTAAAAGAAAAAAATTAGAATTAATTGACTAATATGAAACTTATATGATGTAACTAAACCAATTAGATTACAAATTTACCATATACACATTGTTTGCAGTTCGAAACTCAATTCCAGGCATGTTATGCAACCAAACTGGAAATCCTCTGTTACAGCAACAAGCAATTAACCTAAACTATGCCATATATTCAATAAATAAATAAATTGAAATGGTAGTAAGTTAAAAAGAAGATACCCATAATTCCATTCAGCACAAACATAAGGACCAATTCGGACAACTGAATAAAGTCCTTCCTGTTGAATGGTTTTGATAAATCTCACTATATCAAGATTGCCAGTGAAGTCATATTGACGACGTTGGGGTTCATGAACATTCCAAAACACGTATGTCTCAATGGCATCTAATCCACCTTCTTTTGCTTTTTTAATTAAATCTGGCCACATCTATGGTACAAATATCATTAGGTTAGTCTACAAACACTACATCAGTAGAACAAACAAAAAAAAACATTACTCACCTGTGAAGTGCTACGCGGATAATGAATCGATCCAGATAACAAAATCTTACGGTGGCCATCAATTGTGATGGCTCTTTCATCATGAGCAACTTGAATGCCATTAACACAAACAATCAAGTAAAGGAAAAGTAAACACAAATTTACAAGACGTGACATATTTGATGTTTACAACAAAAACTACTATGAATCTGATCTTGGTTCTACTAACCTAAAACCCTTGCTATTTATAGGAAATTTTAGAAAATAAATTCCAGATAAAAACAAATTCAACCTTTTAAGTAGATCTATCCAACTCAATATCTTTGTGAGTACATTATCCCATAACTGAATTTATCTGTTATTTGAACTTTTTATCCTATTTCTTTTGAGTAGTATAATACTAATCCACATCTGTCAATAATTTTAAATGTTCTTTTTTTCTTTATTATAATAATAAATAGATAGTTATATTCAACAACATATGGAGAGAGTTCTAATCATACTCATTATGCCAATCAAAATTATTACAAGACGAAGTAAAAATGGTAAAGCACGCAATTTGGATGATTGTGGACGAAAATCAAACAATTAAGAGAGAATATCGGCAATTTGCTTACCGCAAACTAAAGGAGGCCAGAGTTGATTGAGGCGATAAGAGAGCAGCAGAGGTGCGTATTCGCTGAAACGACGTCGATTAGGAGCAGATTGTTGGATTTCAGGTTCAACATCAAGGGTTTCCATTAGAGCGCTCACAGCTCAGCCAGGTTCTGGTCGTGAGTGAATGACATTAGATGTGAGGATTTTGTGGAAGCTGCTGCTGCTGCTGCTGCTGCTGAGCATCTTCTTGCATCACCGGCAACCCCATCAGTCTTCATTTGATAGTATCCAACCAGTAATCGACTTTGTACTACAGGTTTTGCAGGTTCAAACACTTGTGCGACTGCTTCTCGCATTGTTGGCATCACAATGGATAGCTACGGCGAATCCTCCTGTGCTTGGTCCACCTAGGTTACAGAGATAAATCCTCTTCGACTGGAAGCTACAGGTATTCTTTTTGCTCTTCAAAAGAGGCTAAAAGATACGCACATTTCCTCTTCTCAACGCTTCTTGTCGATGGGCAATTTTTGAAAGATGCAGAGTTACAACTTACATGGGCGCTAACCCATTTGGATCGCATGGTCAATCAACCACTACTCAAGTGGGCTTTGGGTTATCCTCCAGATTGCACTTGTTTCATACTTGTACATAACTTATATACATTAACAACAATAAATATTACATATATTATTTTCAAATAATTTTCTTAATATAAAAATAAATTCAAAATAATGCTCAATTTTCTAAATATTTTCTAATCACAAAATTCATTAGAAAATAATTTAAAAAAGAAAAAAAAAGATGAAAATTTTATATTTTTAACGTATTATTACTAATAAAAAATTATTTTGCTAATTAAAAAAATAAAATTTAAAGGACTAACACATGTTTCAAAGAATCTATCTATTTACATATAATTTAATTTCTTCTTAATTTTAAGCATATCTTTTTAGGGACTTAAGTATAAGATACATGACAGAGTAATTCACCCTTAAAAAAAAAAACAGTGGCCTCAAAACCATATTCGTATTTCAAAACAAAACAAAGCCAATGGAGAGAAATCTGAACATATGACAAATTCATGCCAGCCAATACTACTCGTACGCTTCTGCTAAGACTCAATCATGTTAACTTTACCGCCTCCTTTCCCTTCCAAGCAAACTATCGTTCTCTCCATTTCAACAACCTTCTGAATTCTTGCTCTTCTCTAACGCAACTTAAATGGATCCATGCTCTCATCCTAGTAAATGGGATCCATCAAAGCATTTCTCTTTCCACCAAGCTCATCACCGTGGCTTGCGCGCTAGGCCCGACCATGGGCTATGCACGCAAGCTGTTCGACCGAATGCCTGAACCAGATGTCTTCGCTTGGAATATTTTGATCAGGGGTTATGCTGATTTGGGACCTTGTACTGAGGCCCTAGTTCTCTACAGAGATATGCACCGAGCGAGATTGCTTCCTGATAACTATACGTTCACTTTTGTTCTCAGGTCTTCTGCTCTGCTATCGGCCTTGCGGGAAGGGAAAGAAGCGCATTGTAATATTATTAAAAACGGGCTTGATTCTGATGTGTTTGTGCAGAGCTCCTTGCTCTCAATGTATGCACAATGTGGGGAGACTTCGAGCATGGAGATTGTGTTTTATGAGATGGGTGTAAGGAACATAGTGTCTTGGACTGCTGTGGTAGCGGGTTATGTACAAAATGGATTTTGTGAACAAGGGTTGCGCGCTTTTAAAGACATGGTGGCTTCAGGGACTCAACCAAACGCAGTTACCTTGGTTAGTATTCTTCCAGCTTGTGCTAGTTTGAAGTTTTTTAATCTTGGGAAGCTGATTCATAGTTATGGATTTAAACTAGGCGTGGACTCAAACATTTCTGTAGGAAATGCTCTGATTGCGTTATATGGCAAGGGTGGTCATTTGGATGTGGCTAGATCTATGTTTGATAGGACAGTTGGGACGCGGAACCTGGTGTCCTGGAATGCAATGATTGCAGCTTATGAACAAAATAATGCTGGAAGTGATGCAATAAAGCTCTTCAGGAGGATGCAATGTGAGAAGGTAGAATATGATTATGTAACATTAGTTAGTGTAATTTCAGCTTGTGCTAATCTTGGAGCTCTCAAGACTGGGAAATGGATACATGAGCTTGTTAAAAGAAAAGGTTTTGAAAGCAACATTTCAATAACTAATGCACTCATTAATATGTATGCAAAATGTGGAAATATCGACTGGGCCAAGAATGTTTTCGAGAGATTGCATCACAGAAGTGTTGTGTCCTGGACTTCATTGATAGGGGCCTGTGCATCTCATGGCCATGGAGTTGAAGCCCTCAATCTCTTCTCAAAAATGCAAGAAGATGGAATTAGACCAAATATATTCACTTTCACTGCTCTATTAAATGCTTGTAGGCATTCAGGTCTGGTAGAAGAAGGAAAAAAGCATTTTGAGAGTATCATAAAGGATTACGCAATATTGCCTGGTGTTGAGCAATGTGCTTGTATGGTTGATCTTCTTGGTCGAGCCGGTCGTTTGATGGAAGCCTATGAATTTATTGAAAGAATGCCAATTGAGCCAGATGCAAATGTTTGGGGAGCTTTACTTGGGGCTTGCAGAATCCATGGCAATGTTGAGCTTGCTGAGCTAGTGGCAGACAAGCTGTTCCAGTTGGAGCCTCAAACTGTCGCATTTTATGTCCTTATGTCAAATATCTATGCTGAAGCTGGTAGATGGGAAGATGCTGCAAGATTGAAAAACCTAATGAGGGAAAGGGAGGTAAGGAAAATCCCTGGGCAGAGTTCTGTTGAAGTGAATAGGAAATTCTATAGTTTCCTTTCTAGATCGAGATTGAGATACTCGGTCAGTTAGACTTATCATCTTGTAGACTGCAACAGGAAAAGGCCAATTCATTTGTTTAAGGTCTCCAATAACTCTCAGAAGGACAATAGAAGTTCCTCTCGGGAGCAAGCGCTCATAAACCATTACACTACTGCACTGTGAACAAATATTTATTCAAGGTTACAGTCAACCAAGCCTCCAGCGTGAATATCTAGATTCGAACTAGCAAATATGCTGTATATATATGCTTGTTGTTGTAAAGTATTTAAATCTAGCTCCAAATTCCTGGAAGTCATTACTTTATTCTTGATAAGGTAGCTCCCTTGTTCCAGGACTAATAACACTTCTCCCCGTCCAGAGTGTGATTGAAAGTCTCAAATATGGCCATGATTTCTTCTTCGTTCAGAGCAAACAGATATCTGTGTGTTTTAGAAGCAGAGCTGCGTACTCCTTGCATTGTACAAACAAATTTTTTGTAAGATTTTTATAAGTCTCCCCTAACCATATTACATTTCAGTCATTTGGGATAATCTTGTACACTTTTTTAAAGCTAATCATTGTCTTGGCATGAAGTTCAATTAAGAACTGTATAAAGTCAAATTCTTGTTATAACTTCTAATTTGAATAACTTATTAAAGATGCACTTGATTATTATTCCATTTATATTTATTAATTATGACTTTGTTATTCTTGTTTGAATTCATGGTGGCAAGACTTGTGTGTACTCTTGATCACGTTTGTTTAAGCAACAATCTCGTCCCTGCTTCACAAGTCTCATTCTTTCTGCAGCAATACTTCTTTTTTCTGGTTGCCTCCAGACATCAAGATATTCTAGCTAAGATTTTTGATATCACTGTCATTGATCTGATCAGTGACGAGGCAAAATAGTAAAAAGCTTGATTCAGTTGTCCTATGTTCTTTAGCTTGTTCTAACAGCAAGTTGAACAGAATTTATTTGAGGTAACAGTGAAGACTAGCAGTAACGCTATGCTGGTTCACAGGTGCGAAAAGGCTGCTGATAAATATTGCCCTTCATTACGTACAGAAACATTTGTGCCCGACACCGTAGTAGCTTACAATCTATCTGACTTTCCCATATACACACAAAAGGAAAAGTATCCAAGAAATATGTTGAACACTCATCCCACATACACGCAAAAGGTAAAATATCCAAGAATTTGTGTTGAACACTTTCCCATATACACACACAAGGAAAAGTATCTAAGAAATTTTGTTGAATAAGCTGTTATGCCTTGAAACAAAGCAAGTACGTCTGCTCTTCTCCCTGCTGAGAGTGCGCCATACTGATCATCTGATGGAGAAAGCAAAGATTACATCATCCCTTCACTGATACTAATTGAGCACCTCAAAACCACTCCAGAGCAAGAATGAGATGACTAAGAAAGAAATTACCTCAAAACCAATTATTTTATACAGTTCTTGTGCTGGTATGTTGTTTTTATCTACATGCACATACACTTGTTTAATTCCTGCAGCGCCACTGGCAGATCAAAATATAAACTACTTCGATAATTTTTATCTGTAGTCAAATATTGAGCTAAGGTGGAGGTACTTTCCCACCTACCTCGGGATTTGGCAGATTCAATGGCAAAATGTAACATACTGCTAGCAATACCCTGACGTCGAGCTGATTTTGCAACACAGAGATTTGCAACATATCCATATCGGTTTGGATCCGTTCTACTCACAGTACTGAAGGAAGGAACCTTCACCCGTTCCTGCAAAATGAATTAATCTTATTGCTGGATTGGAACATGAGATGGGTGGATGCACCAAGACTAAGACCAAGCTTAAACAGAATGTATTATACCCCAGGAAAGGTCTCTCCATGCAACAAATATCGGATGCTCAGATCAAGAGTTCCAACCACACTTTTGAGTACACTGCACTTTACATTCCTCTCTTTCTTCTTCACCTGATAAATCAATATCAGAATTTATCAGAACCTTCACACTGACATATATACATGCACACATGTAACTGATGATACTCCTGTTCCCTCTGTTCTTTACCACCAGAGCGAAAGGAAGCTTAGACTAACTCTACTGACCAAGTCCTACAAAAAAAGACAGATCCGACAGATTCAAACTCACACCAAATTGAATTCAAGATTTAACCAGAACATCATACCGTGACAATGCACATACACTTCTGCCCATGTAGCCCTTTGCATCTTCTTTTGATGGCATTGAATTCCTTCAGAACAAAAGAAATGCTTAAGATCTTCATGCATGTTGAGTTTTTGCATTACTGATTCATTTACCAAGAAAATATCAAAAGAAAAACAAGGGGGAACGATCCTGCTACCTGCTCTGCAAATTTCCTTTTGTAGTTATCAACATATCTGTGTTTATCAGGGATAGTATTAATCAGTGGCAATTAACTTTTCCACTCACATCATTTAATATGTTTTAGTTTGCATAATAAAGGTTGCACATTAGCAGAGGAGTGTCTTTTGAAAACTTTTGACAGAATTTGAATACGGTACATTGCGTTTTGATCGAAAATTCAATTGGGAATCATCTCCATAGGACTAAGTTGACTTTTGGAATTGAAAATTGATAACACTCTTTCCAAAAACCCCGCATTTTTTAACATAATGAGTTGAGCTCTAATCAGGAGGCTCACTCCTCTGCAAATGTGCTCCTCGCTGCACCTACATAACGAGGTTTTTTCCATTTTCAGATTGAACTAATTACCAAACAATTAGAATAAAATGTACCTTTCATTTCTTCGATCCTCCCAGTGACTTTCTGCTCGCAGCCATGCCGCTGTCTATCACAAAACCAATAGCAAAGCCACCGGCAAAACGAATTATTCGTCAAAACAATAAGACATGCATTAGGGTAGAACATCGGTGATTTACATGACAATGGATGCCCTACCCAATATTCTTCATCGAGCACAGCCTCTCGTGCCACAAACCGTCCAAATTCAATCCTTGGGCTTTGATTGACCTCGTCCTCCGCTAGCTGAAGTCGGTCAAACTTCAGACGAGACAAATCTAATGTTTGAGGTTCAGGAATCGAGGAGCGGGTAAGTTGTAGTGATAGCTCCTCAGTTTTCCTTGTATTGGAAGACTTTGAATCCATTATCCTGTTATTGTTCAAAAAGATTCCATCAATCTTATCGAACCAATTTTAAATCAATAAAACGGGTAACCATCTCCTATATAAGAACTAAATCTGACCCCTATATTATGCGAATGCGGCAAATGGAAAACCTGAATTTAATCGAAAAGCTTTAGAGAGAAAGAGAGTGACTCACATTGTCCAGGAGGCGGAAATTGTGGGGATTTTGTGGCGGTTAGTACGTGATCGATTAGCAGAGAATGTCAACAACTGAGTTCTGTGGATCGAAATGGTAGACATGAGTGGTTTCGGATTGATGCGAACCAGATAAAATTTCTGCTTGCACAGTTAAACAAGAAAGAGAGCAGTTTCCCCAATGAGAAAGAAGAATGATTATCTGAAGCATTCAAAGCGGAGAGAGTAAGTTTAATTCGCAGAGAGGATTGGAGAAAGGGGGAAAGAGAAGCCCCGCTCCTTTGCAGAGAAGCAAGGGGGTGGGGGGTATGGGTAACGGAGGAGGCAAGTGGTGGGCCGTCAATGCAGGATAAGGACAAATAGCGTGTAGAATTCATGGCTCACTATTAACTACCAACCGCACCAGGATCTTGCCACGTGGACTATCACCAGTTAAGATCATGACGTGGCAAAATCTGAGTTGGCCTTTGACCCTATCCTTTCTTTGGATGGATATTTTTTGACATGAGTTTTTGAACTTCCAAGAAAAATATTTTGGATTATGGTATGGGCAACTTGGAAGGAAGATATTTTGGTATGGCTAACATGATGGATTATCAGGTTTATTTTTATTTATAAAAAAAAAAGATTATGGAGGTTTGGATATTATTGTCAGAAAATCATGTGTTAAAAGGCATCGCTCTTTGTTTCCACCTCATGATACTAAATTATTATTTCATCCACATCCAAAAAAATATTTAAATAATTTATTTATGGTTGGATCATAATTGGATGTGGCACATGCACCAAGTACTTAGGGTTAACCGATGTAAAAGACAAAACAAAACAAAAATTATGTCTTTTCTTCTTTCTTTAAGCTTCCAAATACACATATTTACATCATTCTCCAAACAATGTTTCTCTATTTTTTTGTTTTTAAGTAAACATCTCTTTTGATTATTTAAGAATGTCGAAATGAATTCTATTGAACAATTCTTTCTTATTGTAAGATGTTTAGGCTACCTTACTTTTATTATTAAAGTGTTTGCTTCAAAAAATTATGCCTCACGAATTAAATTTATGTAATTATCATAGATAACATATAATAATTAGATTAGATTAGATAGTAAGGAGGATTCTAAAAAATCTTTTATTTTTTATTTTTTTTCAAAATTTAATATTAGTAATACATATTAAAATTAAAATTACACATGTATAAGACGTAGTACATGTGACAACGAAGTAAATACATTTAGTAACAAGATAAAGAACACGTAACAATCAAGTCAAGACTCTAATGATAAAGACATTAATTAATGTTAATCTTTAAAAATTAGAGTTAAATAATAAGTTACAATATTTTGTCTCCTGAGGTAAAATTGTCATAACAATTATTAGCTTCCTTAATATTCTGAGAAATGTTATATATA